AGTTGAGATCCAAAAATTAGACTGAAACTAAAACATAATGCTGTCGAGTCCAAGGACTAGCCCATGCTCAGTGTGTTTACCAAATTTACATTAAACAAAGCTGAACTCAAAAGCAGATGTAAACTCAAGTTGTTTATCATGTACATGCACTTGCACCTTTTCTGTATAGTAATTGATTTGAGTAAATTTGCTAAAACAAAAGATCAAAAGGGGGTGTCCAGAAAATAAAAACAAAGTACAAAACTAGCTCACATCCTTCAGAATCATGAGATCTGAAAGAAATGCAGCACGCATAACTGAGGTAAAAGATATACAAAAATAGGAAAAGCACAGGTCCCAGCAACTGGAAAAGATACGGAACAGTAAAAGGGCATCAAATATGAATATGAAAATAATTTTCAAAGGATTTTAAAATCAACAAAAGCAGCACTGTATTAGGGAGGAGAGGGGTGGTCAGGAGCAATGTAGGTCTGTTAAAACCAATACTGATGAGAATGTCAATGAAAATCAGGATGTGCATAAAAGTTGGAAGATTATTTTGCTTCAGCAGTTATAGTAGAGGAAGAAAATAGCATGCCAGAAATCCCCAGAAAACTAATGGCGAACATCAGAACCAAAAAAAAAAGTAAAATAACATCAATAAACAGAGCAAAGCATTGAGAACAAAACATGTGAGGGGTCAACTCTCCACACCAAGGCTCCTTACAGTACTCTACATGTAGGAGCACCCCTAGGTCTTCCTCTTCTACATCAGCATTCACTTCTCTTGACGAGTCTTCCCTACAGACACTGTTGTAAACCCTCCTACAGGGCCTATCACTTCCCTGGTTCACCTGTCAGCTTTAACTGGTTGGCAATAATGGAGATGCTCAATTAAGTATCCTTTACGTAAAGTCGCTCCAGCAGACTTAAGATCCATGTTTAGCCCCAATGTCAGGGTTGTAAACCCACAGGAAAATTCAGCCTGTGAACTCAATGTAGACAAACAGGAGATCATCCACCTTTGACTCAAAAGGGTAGAACTGGGCACTTTCCAAATAGTCAAAAGTTAAAAATAACAGAAGTTCAATTAGGCTCAGAAATCCATGTACATTTAATCATTAAAACATCATGAATCATTACAGAAAGTAACCACAAGCAGAAAGTAAAGAAAGTCAGGCCACAGCTCACACTAAATGACAGATCAGTCTCTAACTGCAAAGTGGACAACTCTTGTTCAGTGTTCTCCTCTGGCGGGCAATGGTTGTTTCGCTAAGACCACGAGCGAGGTTTACCAATCTGTTACAGTTCCGGATAAAATACCCAAAATCACTAAGCTTCTGGGTGAGAAGGGATGAACTGGGGCCCCCCTTCTTTATTCACCTCCCCTTCTGTGGGTCACAACAAAGCTAACTTAAAAGTAGATCCCTTCCCCTATTGATATATTTCTCCCAGATCTAACGAACTTAGGAGCCAATTTAACCAGGCTTTCATGAGTTAACGAAAAATGAGTTTATTATTAAATGTGAGAAGAATTGGGAAATGCAATACACGCAGGGTAGAAATAAAAGATTACTCCAAAAGGTTAAAACGTTTAAAAAAAAAATGGATGGGTCTTTCAGTTGTTTGGGGAGCAGATATTATGAACGCTGCAGCTGTTGCAGTTGTAGTTGCGGTAATAGTGACAATGATAATTGAACAGTTAATTTTAAGACGCTTGGTTTTGCACGTAGGTTGAGCGTCAGTTGTTCATTTCTTTCAATCACGACTGAATTTCAGTATTTGGGGTGATAGACTTTTTGCTGTCCTGTTTCTTTTTATCTGGCTTGCTAGTTAGCTGACTGCTAGCACTCAGAGTAAGGCTTCTTTTTCCTTTCAGACAGATCTATTCCCCAAGTCTCCCCTTTGACTATGGCCTTCACAGCAAACTAACACTTGAACCCAGACTACTACAAATGGATAACTTAATCCATTGATGCAGAGAAATCAGTCCCACTAGCAAGCTCCAGCAGATTTGAAACTGGCTTTATGACTCTTGTCCTTATGCATTCTTCAAAAGGGAAGGAAAACAAGATGTTTCTGTTGTTTGGGATATAATCCTCAGGGGCCAGCTTGCTGTTGAGCAGAGGGGTCATCAGTCCCTCATCACCTTCATAGTCACAAGAAATCACAGTACAGTCTGTTTTGAGTTGCCTCTTCTGTTTGAAGGGTTGCAGCCGAGGTGCCCTTTGCATTTTCAGGTGTGACATTTGCTGGTCTCTTTCTCCAGAAAGCAGCTCAATTTCCATCTGTAGTCATTTTTGGCAGTATCACTCCTCTTGAAAAAGACATTTTGGAACTGCAAGCTAAAATGTCCACTGTACTTTTTTTTTTACTCATTAACAGGATGAGGGGGTCACTGGCTAGGCAGCATTTATCGCCCATCCCCAGTTGAGTCAACCACATTGCTGTGGATCTGGAGTCACATGAAGGCCAAACAAGGTAAGGATAGCAGTTTCCTTCTCTAAAGGACATTAATGAACAAAATGGATTTTTCTGACAATTGACATTGGATTCACCATCATCAGTAGATTCTTAATTCCAGATATTTTTATTGAAATCAAATTCCACCATCTGCCGTGGCGTGATTCAAACCTGGGTGCCCAGAACATTATCTGGGAATTTGCATTAACAGTCCAGTGCTGATACCACTAGGCCATCACCTCCCCACTTTGAGTGGTCAAAACAAAATTCAGTTTTGCAACATAAACAGTGTTGCAATAAAGGCTTCTAAAGCTGTAAAAATGCAAATCAGTGTTAAACAGAAACAACTCTACCAGTCTTACTAGGTATTTACATTTTGAAATAAATTTACATTTAAGGCACACCTTGATAAAAACATTTGATCAATAAACTTTTGTACTTTTTGATAAATGAATAGCTATGGTAAGATACTTGCCTGTTTATTTAAAGGTCTAAATAAGCAATCCCGCCACGTCACTAAAGCAAGCTGTAAGGTATAAAACAAAAAACAAAACTGTGAAGCAATGATTGCTGACAAGTAAATGGCTTTCAACCATTGTTCCCAAATGGTAACAAGTCTTCTGCAAACGTTCAAAAATAAATAAACTGATACATTTAATATTCTTTGGAGAGTTTTTATAAACAACATAAAATAAAATATCTATTTTATAAACTAATAGCTCTCATACTCTCACATTCTTCAGATAGGCTCAGATTCACTATAATATCATGAATGAGGTCTGAGAGTTGAAAATTGAGTTTTTCCATTAGATCAGAGCGTGCTTAAATCATGTTTGTTAGAAATTCTATCAAATTCTGTTCTTTATTTCCTTTGGTCACAAGTTAATAACTAGAGAACATTAATTCAAATTAAATTCAATTAGATTGAATTCAATTTTTTTTTAAAATGGAGAGAATTAGAAAGATAGGGCTACCAGCAAAAATGATACTTTCATAACGTTATAAATGATACTTGAGAAAATTAAATCACGAGATTTATTGGCAAAGGCCTCAGGAATGGAAACAGCATGCAGTTACAGTAAGCTCCTGCGATGTAAAATTCTATGACAAATTAATGTCTGCTCTTTGTTACTTAAATATTCAGTGGGTATATATCATATGTAGGTTGGGTCCAAATTCATTATGACATCAGGGCAATATCACATATTACTTTCAGAAGGGTAATCAGTTGATGTAATACTTTGTACTTGCATATTGTCTGCCAATTGACAAGGTGACAGTAACAAATTAAGACTCCATTTTAAATTTCATAAAACTCAGCAAAGAAACATTCCTACAAGAAGAAAAAATTCCAGGGGAAAGGAGCACCTTCTGGGGTTAACAAAGGAATATAAACATAGTGTTACATTGAAAGAAAGTGATCAATTCTGTTAAGATTAGTGGATCAACAGAATAATAAAAAGTAGCAAAGAATAACAAAAGATTGAAAAAATAGATAACTGGAGAAACACATATACTAAGAGTTGCTTCAGGTATTTTAAAAAAAAGAGTAAAATAAATAGTGGTCCTCTGTAGAGACTGTATTTTGGGAATTAAAAACGGTGGGCATAGTGAAGATATTTGTATCCTCTATGGTCCAGAAATAAAATAAATTAAAAATAATTTAACTCATGAGATGAAATGACAAAAGGAATTTAAAACAACGAAAGCCTGACAAGTCCCCATGTTTTGGTGGGCTTCACTGTAAAGTCTTAAAAGAATAAGCCATTGAAATAATAGGCAAATTGCTTATAATTTTCCAAAATTCCCCAGATTCTGGAAAGGTCCCATCAGATTGGAAAATAGAAATAGTACTTTATTCAGTGAAGAAGGTAGACAGAAAGGAGGAAACTGCAGAGTAGTTACCTTAACAGCTGTCATAGGGAAAATGCTATAATCTATTATTCTAGAGGTTTCAGCAGGGTACTTGGGAAATCACAACATGATCACATAGAATCGACATGATTTTGTGAAAGGAAAACAGTGTATGACTAATTTATTGGAATTACTTCTAAAAAAAAGACTAAGAGGTTACGTGGATTACAGGGTAACTGCAGAAGTGACTAACATGAATTTCCAGTAGGCATTTGAAAAATCTCTACAAGTATTATTACACAGGGTCAGAGATCATGGTGCAAGTGGTAGCATATTAGGATGAAGAGAGGATTAGTCAGCTAACATGAGAAAAAAAAAAGAGCAGGGACGAATGGATTATTTTTGAGTTGGCAAATGGAAAAGTGGATGCAACAGGAAACAGTGCTGGGAACTCAACTATTTACATTTGGATGAACGGAGCAAGTGTACCAATGCTAAATGTGTTGATGACATAAAAATAAGTTACAAATGTAATCACAATGACAGTCAACAAAGGGTGTGAAATGTAAACTTGGCATCTTTGATAGGAAGGAGAAAAGCAGCATATTATTTAAATGGAGAGATTGCAGAACTCAGATACAGAGATGCACAAGTAGATGCATCAGAAAAAAGTTAGTATGTAGGTTCAGCAAATTATTAGAAAGGCAAATGGAATGATTCCCCTTGTGGAAAAGGCTAGAACTAGGGAACACTGTTTAAAAGTAAGGTACTTTCATCTGAAACGAAGCTGGGAATTTATTTCCTCAGAGGGTAGAGTGTGTGTAGAGTTTAAATAGCTCACGTGTTAAACTAATCACCATGCATTCAAGTTCCATGCTATATTTCACTTGTACTTGCCACCTATTGAGTGCAGTACATCAATTCCCAAGAACTCTGTGGTAAAGCATTCTGCTCAATATGCTCAGAATTAGCATCAGCACAGAAAACCAAAAACACTATGCTGTGCAACATGTGAGGTAAGAACAAGTCATTTGCAATTCAGTGATGTCTCATATGCTTCCAAGTGCTTTTTAAACACCATTTCTGGTCTGTGTACATGGCTGTGCAACTTACACATGGACCCATTTTGTTTTCACCACTCTGGTTGTCAAATCCTGTGCCAAATTAGCTTTAAATTAATGGGACACAAAAGTATGAAGTCAAGCTAACCAACCAAAATTAGCTTTGAATTAATGGGACACAAAAGTATGAAGTCAAGCTAACCAACCATTAAATCGAATTACCATTAATAAAATGTACATCTCCATGGCTCACTGAGGAAAATATTTTATGTGTATTTTTTATATATATCTCCTACCTCCCGCCACCCAAGAACAGCTCGTCAATTTGTCCATTAGCACACTGCATCTTCTTGCAGCATCGTTAAACCCAGATAGAATACTAGATTCAATTCATTTTTATGCTTTGGCCTTCACTGAATCATGCAAACCACACTATAAATGGAAGGATCACCCAATAAGGGGAAGATACATTTTTGTTTTATCTGTTCATGGGCTGTGAGCATCACTTGCAAGGCCAGCATTTATTGCCCATTCCTAATAATTTTTGGAAAAGGTAGCAGCGAGCTGCACTCGTGAACTGCAGCAGTCTTTAAAGTGCAGGGTCCCCACAATAATGTTAGCAAGGGAGGTCCAGGATTTTGACCCAGAGACAGTGAAGGAACAGCAATATTGTTCCAAGTCAAGATGGTATGTGACTTGGGGTATCTTGGAGGTGGTGGTGTTCCCACACTGTCTTTGTCCTTCTCGGTAGGAGAGACAGCAATTTGGATCATGCTTAAAAACCTTAGATGAGTTGCAGCAGTGCATCTTTTTAGATAGTGTACATTGCAGCTACTGTGCATTAGTAGTGAAGGTAGTGAATATTGAAGGGAGCTTATGGAATGCCAAGCAAACAGGTTTTGTCCTTGAGTGTTCAAGCTTTGAGAGATGTCAGAGCTGCACTCATTCCAGATGCAATAGGATGAATGGTAAGGAAAGAACGAGCAGGTTTTTCCCATGTTTAGTTTTCTCACCATGTGCTACAGCTTACCATGGCAGATAATGTCCTTCTGGAATTGGCCACCTAGGGTCAGTAATGGTGCTACTAAGGCAATCTTGGCAATGGGCACTAAAGTCTCTCACTAACAGTACATTCTGTGCCCAGTTTACTCTCCATGCCTTTAGCAAGTAGTTTTCAACATGGAGAAGAACTAATTTTATCAGAAGAGGCAGAGTGGTAGTTGGTAATCCGCAAAATTCGGCAAATCGGTGGTCTGACCTGTTAATGGGACAGAACATATTCAAGTATGTTGATGGCGGTGTCTGGGAGATTGGCTGTAAGTTATGGTTAAGTAAGTGACAATATTAGACTTATGCTTAGCAGGTCTGTGGAACAGCTCTCCCAAGCACAGCACTAGTATCCAAATCTAGTGAGGATTTTACAAGTCCTTACACCTTTAAAATGAACTGCTTGCCTCGTTGAGATTGGTTAAATTAGCACAGACCATAATGGAAACTGGGAAATTACTGATCATTAAGATTCAATATTACAGTGAGTAGCACACAGGAAATTTACAAATGAACTTTAGTGAAAAATACGGTTCAACCATTTGAAATACAAGTCTAAATAAAAGAGGAATGGAAAATCTTTGTCATTTCCCAGGCCTACTTCAGTGCCCAGTAGTCCATGCTTACTCAGCTTTTTCTGCTACGCCATTTCAGAGGGTAACTGATTGCTGAAGAATTAGGGTCACAAAAGTGAGCAGGAAAGTTAGATTTTCTTTCCTGAAGGGCCGACCAAACTTGTGGCAAATCAGCAGTTTCATGATCATCATTACTCAGACTTGCCTTTATAGTTCACACCTATCAACAGCTCAGCTCCAAGAGCTCACACTCACTGACATCTCAATCCCCTTGGGACTTCATTCCATCTATGGCATGACACCTGTGACATTATCAGTAATGCACAATCATGAGCAGCCACCACCCACAAGTGGAGCACAGGAAGTGTCAGACAATGAATTTCATTCCCTTGTCTTAGTACAAGGATAACTTACTTTACTTTCACTATTGCAGATGAATCAGACCTTTTTTTTTGATTTGGGTAGACTTAACAATTGAACTGGTACCCAAGAAAAGCATTTAAACTTCAGTATTAACCAAGCTCAATTATCGGATGAGAATGAACAGTACTGCAATTCAATTTGAAGAGATATAAAGTCATCATTGGCATTTTAATTATTCTTTGATAAGATTATAAGAAACAGGGGTAGGAATAGGCCATTCAGCCTTAAGTCTGTCCTACCATTCAATAAGGTCATGGCTAATGTGCCTCAGGCCTCAACTCCTCTTTTGTGCCAGCTCCTCAAAGTCTTCAACTCCCTAGTATTTGAAAAATCTACCTTTTTGTTCTTTAGAAATCTTCAGTGATGTAGCCTCCACAACTCTCTGGGGTAGAGAATTCCAGACATTCACTACCCTCTAGGAGTAGGGATTCCTTTGCATCTGTTTTAAATTAGTCCCTTTATTCTGGAGCTATATCTGCAAATTTGAGATTTTCCCCACTAATGGAAATATCTTCTCAACATCTTACTTGTCAAGTCCCCTAGGAATCTTGTTTCAATAAGATCACTTGTCATTCTTTGAAACTCTAATGAATAAAGGCCTTAATCTGTTTAGCTGCGCTTGATAAGTCAACACTTTCAACCCAGGAAACAACCTAAGGAACCTCTTGAACTGCCTCCAATGCTAACATATCCTTTTTTCACTGTCTACAGCAACAATTAAACTGTTTTAAATCTTACTGTGTCCCTTAGAATGGTCAAATATATATTAAGCCATTTCTTGCTTGTGATGTCATATTTCAACTGCTTTTGGTGCTCTCAGTCAACAAATATTGCATAAAACTAAGTTATCATTTCAGATTGCACTGTTTAAAACTAAAGAGAGCTTTTTTTCGATAAAACATTTTATCTTACGTGCAATTCAAGCGGCTTATGATTAATGGCTGTGTTCCATGAGCAGCAGTGTAATCTACTTGCTTCAACCCTAACAAAAAGTTACTTTCGAGTACCCACGTGTAAAAGAAAGGTCTGGGATTGAGCACTTTAGCTATGAAGAAAGGTTGCATAAGCTTAGGTTGCTTTCTTTGGATCAGAGAAGCTGGAGGAGGGTCTGATAGAACTGCGTAAGATTACAAGGGGCATGGACAGGGTTGATAGAAAGCAATTATTCTCCTTAAAAGGGTCAAAACAAGGGGGCACACTTTTAAGGTGAAAGGCAGGAGGCTTTGGAGAAGATTTTAGGAAACAGATTTTCACCCAGAGGGTGGAGGAGTCTGGAATGCAGTTAAGGCAAGTAACCTCAAACTTTTAAATGTACTTGGATGAACACTTAAAACATCATAACATTGAAAGCGATGGGCCTAGTGCTGGAAAGTGGGATTAGTGCCGATTTAGTGCTGAAGGGCCTCTTTTGTACTGTATGATTCTATGACCTGATGTGGGAAGTGAAATATTCAGAGTAATTAGTGAGGAAAGAATAAAAAGGAAAAATACTATATTAAGGTAGTTATTGTGATCACCTGATCTGGATGTGCTAAGCATTTGAACGCATCAATAAACGAGACACGGTGTGAACTGAAATTAACATGACACAAAGCATTTCTACGTCATTCCTACATATAAAGTGACCGGATTTCAAACTAACAGCTTTATTCTTACAGGAGCTTTTCTTGAAAGAGATATTGTTCATTGTGTCTGGAATTCAGAGGTAACATCAAACTTTCAATTCCTACTTGATAAGATAGTGGTGGAGTCTTGTTCTAGAGATGTTTGATACAATGGTGCACTCACTTCAGAATCAACCATGTTCAGGAATAGAGTTATTGAAGTAACTAAGTTTTCATAACAATCTAGGTAACACCAAATATTGTGACCACTTATTTTAAAATTCTAGAAAATCAAATAAATGGTTCCAACTAGGTCATGATAACAGGCATAAAGAATACAACCGGTTCAGATATAAATTTTTATAAATGAAAAACGACAGTTCCTTACTGAATATATTTCATAAATTCCTTTACGTCCTTCATCACATTCACGACGGACCCAATGTCGATTGAGGTAGGCACAGATTCCATTCAATACCTTGCTAGAAAACCTGTAATCTTCCCATTGCTGGGTATAAAACTTCAATACACTTTCATCCATCAAATCTTCACCATCCTATGGAAGAAAAGAAAGACAACTTTTTTTCTTTTGTAAACGACTTGCAACATGAATCAAGAATGCACAGAATATTTACAAATTGATCCAACAATGAATTTTTTTTAGAATTTACAAATTAATCTAGATAGGTCACATTGTTACATGCCACAGGAACTTAAATCACCTTACTCAGAAGATAATTTTGAAAAGCTTTAATAAGCCACGTTACATCTGGAAGAAAAACCAAATTACTCATCTGATCTGAACTGCCTACAGCGTTATTTCTAACAGTAGGAACACAATAACCTATAACCAACTTATTCTAATAAATATTGATGAAAAAAGATCTTTCATTGTGTTCATGCAACTGCACAATAATAGCTACTTATACAATGGAGGTGCTGTTCGCAAAGACAGGAGTTTTAGTCAGAAATGTAAAAGTTCAGGGCTGAGATCAAAAACACTTCCTAAGGCCCCAATATATCATGCATAAAGGTTCAAATATAAATAATGGTGAGGCAATATACACTGCTCAATAATTCATTTAAAATGTTCACCTTGCAACAAAGGCATCATAGCTTTAGAAACACTCCAGAAGCATTAAATACTATTGCATGACCATTATGGTGAACAATAAGAGTCAGTATTCTTGTCCAGAAAACTAACAGACCACAAGTTGACAGTTAGTCTAACATCAAGGTGGTGACTAAACAGAATGTCACTACAGGTGAGATGATTCTGTAACTTTTCATTTCTTTCACAGCAAGGTTTGTGGAAGATGAATAAAGATAAACTTACTGTTAGGTTTTGAGGTTAATAAATGTGGCTTTTTTCTACATTAAGAAATTTAAGATGTAAAGTTTACTGTAATGCTTTGTAATAAAATTAGTTCCATTTTATCACCTCTAACATATCACAATATATTGAAGAACTGCTCACAATTGATTACTTTGATGTACATAATTATTGAATTGGTAAATAATGCAAGCATCATCTGTCAGTTGTATAATGATTGAGGAAATAATGATGGCCAGGACACCAGAACTCTTACTTCAGAGTGCAATCTTTAACATCCTGTTGAATGAGCCGACAGGATACATATCTCATATCAGAGAATACACTGAAAGCTTAGAATACTTTTGATTCCTAGCCCTCTTGGTTGCTTCATCTTTCCCATTCAAAGTATTCTTCAGCACACCTTCCGTTAAACAATCCGCCAAACGTACCTGCTCACAGTCATTGCTTGGTCCAATTTTGCTCTGGATACACAGAAAATTAAACAGCTGGTGGAACATGTCAACTGGTTAACAGGGGCAACTTAATGTGGACGAAGAGAGAACAATGTATCTTGACAGTAAAGACAAGGAATGAATCACACACTTAACGGAAAGACCCAGTCATGTGTGCTGAATAGAGACACCTGGAGGTCCAAATACATAGCTCCCTGAATGTGGTAGTTAAACTTATAAAATATCTAATAACATCTATAAATTGGGACATACATTATAGATACAAATATTAAGTTGGCTTAAACTATTGTGTATAGTTTTGGTGTTCTGTAATAAAAAAAACTTGCTGTGCCTTTATTTGTTATTTAATGAGATGTGGGCATCGCTGGCAAGGCCAGTATTTGTTTCTGCCCTCAAACCAAGTGGTTAAGGCAGCCATTTCAGAAGTCTGTTAAGAGTCAACCACATTGTTGTAGCTCTGCAGTCACACGTAGGCCAAATCAGGTGCTCACAAGATTTCCTTTCCTTTCCTTAAAAGCTCATTAGTGAACCAGGTGGGTTTTATGATATTTTATGAGTTCCATGGTCACTATGACTTACACTAGCTTTCAATTCCAGATTTCGTAACTGAATTTAACTTCTCTCAGCCCCTTATACAGCTGCCACAGTGGGATTTGAATCCAACTCTTGACAGCAAATTAGTCTTTGCCTTTGGATTATTAGTTCAGTGATATCACTACTACAAGATCATGGTGCCTTTGAAGTAGTGCCAGAATGATGTCTGGGATAGAATGTTCTTAATAGCTTGAGTCTATTTATATTGGAACAAATAAAATCAAAAGGAGTTTATAAGAGGGAGATTGTTTTGTTAAGGTGGACAGGGAAGAACTATTCCTTCTGGGTGACTGTGACAAGGGTGTCAGCAAATTTAAGAGTCACCAAAGGAATAAGAAAACAGACCAAACAGGTCAACATTTCCATAGCTGTTGGGAGATTGATATCACCCATCCTAAATGGATTGCTGGATGGTCTTTGGTTTTCAGACTGATTTTAAGTAATCTTCTCAAAATAACATCACTGATCTAGCCATAAAGTAAATGCAAGGCAATGTATTAAAGCAATCAAAGAGCAGTACCTCAATGCTTTGAATGCACACCTTGCAGTCTTTGAGATTCAACAATAAGTTGAACAGTTTCTGACTATTCTTTCTGCTCTCATTTTATTTTAATTCTTTGTATGCTTTGGTTTTAGTCAGGTTTTCTTCTGTTTTTGTTGTTAGGCATCAAGAGTTCATAATTCCTTCATTCATAACTCCTCTGAATGCATTTTGTTTTAAAACTTGTCTTTATTGCCAATCCTATAGACTCTGCACAGCAGAGTTTTTATTGTCTCTCATCTTCCACCCCATTCTCAACACCCCTAACCCCCGAATTTCATCTGCTTAAAACCCATTATATTTCTAACTTCTCCCCAATTTTAATGAAAGATCATCACCATAAAATATTAATCATTTCTTTCTTCAAAAATGCTGTGTCATCAGCTAAGTATTGCTTAAAGGTTTTCAGTTTTTAATGTTGGAATTGCCAGAACCTTAGCTCAGTTAGGGCATCATCACCTTGCGCAGAAGGCTGTGGGTTCAAACCTTGACTCAAACACATCTGGTTAAAATGTGATTCAGATAAGATGTTAAAATGGTTCCAATGGAGGAGCGTATTATCCCACAGTACTGTTGAAAGAGCAAATGTTTTTTCTGGTATCATGGCCAAGATTTATCCTTCAACCAATACCACTAAGATGCATCTCATTTGTCATCTGTAGGATTTTGCTGTGTGCAAATTCCTGCTATGTTACTTTTAACAACAGCACTGATTACAGTCCAAAAATCATTGGCTGTGAATTGACTTGAAAAGTCTTATGGAATTTGAAAGGTACCAGATGGAATTCCTTTTTGCAGGCCCTGGATGAGGACACACAAAACAGATTATTTGAAGTCAGAATAGTCCAATTATATCTTACCAAAGGCCAGAGAGCAGATTATTCATTAACCTTGCAGATAAGGAAGGGGCAGGTTTATGGGGTTATTTTCTTTTTAAATAGCCTCGTCAAATAATCAGGGTGTACAACATTTAAAGAGTTTTCGTCCATTTTTAGAAACAGGTCAGTTCATTCAGATTAGATCTGGCAAGTGGAAAGCTTTAAATTAAAGTAGTAGATGCTAGTTATCTGAAAAAGAAAAGATAGATTAAGATTTTTGAGTTTAACCTTAATCATGAATTTCATGGTTAGACGGAGAGGTCCTTTCCATAGCACTGAAAAAGACCAAGCTGGACAAATTTTTAAAAAAGTACAACGTGTAGCAGTATAAAAATTAAATGTATAACTGGGTAATCTGGTTATTTAGTTATCAAGGGGTTTAATGTGTCAAACTCCAAGAAAATCTGATTTGTTATTCTGCAGTAAGATTAAAAGTTTAACTATATTGTATAATGATTATGGTATTTGACTAACAACTTAAAAATGCGAGGTCTCATCATGGCAGGTTGTGAAATTGCATCAAATAAGTTTGGTAAATGTGTGACCTGGCAACAGATGAAGTGTTATTAACACTGTCACAATTTCAGAAGCAAACTAGCAAGCCTTCAAGGAACCGACCAGCCACTGCCACTTAGTCTAGTTGAATGCAACTCCAGTCCCATAATATGTGGTTGACTCCCAATACTCCCTCAACAAACATGATCGGACATCAGATAATGGAATGTAGGCTACACTACAAAACAAGAATTATATAGGAAACACAGTAAAGAAACAGTATATTCACAGCTCAGTTATATGTGCTAAGTTTAGATTCCACACAAATCACTTCCATTCCAGCCACCCAATCTCAGATTCTTTCCATTCCCTTTTCTCATCCGGTTTCTGTTTGCAACCTTCTGAGCTCTTTGCCTCAAATCACTTGTGATACCAAGTTCTAAATTCTAGTCACTGAGCTAAAATCCCCCAATGCATTTAACAAGTCACATAAGAAACCTGCGCTTCATTTAGTCAAATACATGAGTCTCAAAATCGTGGTTTCAACATATCTATGGTCGGAGAACTGAGCTTCCTGGTGATTTTTTTAAATCATGTATTTCAGTAAGAAGTTTTATAAAAAAAAACGCACCAATTTTTTTAGCCGAGGAAGAGGATTTTTTTTTTCTGTTTCCAATATCATGTGCCTTTGTGTTCACCTAACAGTGAGAAAAGGTCTTGGTGATATACAAACAAGTAGTCACGATCATAATGTACTCGAGGAAAACCTTGGGCTTGCAGACATTATAAGTTTCCCAGTAGAAGTTCCAAGAACTACGTGTTAGTTATTATCAATAAGGCATTTTGGACAGTTTCAAGAATTTCAGATTATAACCATTGTTTCAATTTTTTTTCCAGTCAGTATTCATTAATAATGATTCAGCTATTACCATTTCCATCTTCCCAATGTTAATTTTGTTTTCTTTACTTGCCCTATTATCACCTTTCCTCTTATAATTACTCCTTAACAGGGTCATTTCAGACCTCAGAGAGTAGTCACCCCTGTCCTCTTATGACTCACCCCAGCCCAGGTAAGAATCAAGTCAGGGATACAGGCAATGGTCAACAGCACGATCAGAGAATTTTCAATGATGAGAGCTAGGAGTTCAAGGGTCAACTGCTACTTACAAGTGAGCAATCAATGGAAAGAGGATTTGTAGAGCCTTTAAGCACACAGGAAGACAATGGGAAACCATCTTATGCATTGTTTTCTCTCATCATATTGCTTAAATGAGCTTTAAAATGAAAGACTCTTACCAGCAAGTGACAAGGAAAGACCAGGACCGCAACGCATGAAGTAAGAAGCAAAGGACCCATCCTCAGACAGATGTAACTAACTTGTGTCCTATCTCAGGACTTTCCACTACGTTCCCCAGTCCTCTTTAAAAACCTGTGTACTTCAAATCATTCAGCTGAAACATCTACATTATTGCTCACTCTGAAAGGTGTTGTTTAGTATGTCAGGTATTCCACATGCTTTTTGTTTCTATTATAGATTCCTCACCTCCTGATAGGGATAAGCAATAATTAGCAAGCCAAGAGCATCCAACTCCTAGAAATATTGTTAACTGGCTTCAAACCATTTACAGACAGTATTACAAACTTCTGATTCATTTTCTCTATTTTAAATTTATTGGGGTCTCTTTGCACCATTTCCCCACCACCTTCAAATTCGCCATCTTCCTCTTCTCAAAAAACAGCATATCCTCGAAGATTATGCCCATATCATTTTTCTCCTTAAAATTTTTTTTCTCCAAGCAAGTTTCTTATCCTGCTGTAATACTAAAATGGCTCAAAATTGCAAAATGATATCCTATCTGACTATGACTGCACCCTTTTTACATGCCTTTTTGCAGCCTTTAACAGGGTCAACAACACTATCCTCCTTCAAACCTCTTCATCGGCATCCTGCTGCAAGGAACTGCATACCTGCTTCAATACATACCTAATCGTAGCCTGAGCATTCCCTGGTTTATTTGACCCCTCCTATTTCTCTCAGCTACATGTTGTCCCTCAGTGATCTGGAAATAACCTTAGTTTCCACATGGACACTGACAAAATGCAGCATTACTTCACCAACTACAACTATTCAACTACTTCGAAATTATCCAAATCTTTGCCTGACATCTTGTTTTGGCTGGGTTGAAATCTCCTGTTGGGAAGATCAATGTTTCAGCTCATGCACTGCTGAACTTGCATCATTTGTCAAGTTTTAAAGTAGCAGAGGCTCTTCCAACACATTCCTGGCCAGCATCCCACAATCTATTCTCAACAAAAAGTCTGCTGCCCATGTGTTTATCACAATTGTAGATTATTTTGAAATAATGCAATCTGCAGCTCCAGGCCACAATAGTCAATAAGTACATCTAAAAGGCTGGCACATCCTCCCAAATTCACCACAAATTATAAACTGACTTTGGAGCCCTGTACGAAAATTTGGGATATCAGCTTAAAAAAAAAATGGTTCTGAATACTCAATATTGCATGGTTTAAAGGAAAAGGACACAGTTGTAAATTAACTTTTTTTTAAAATGGGTTTTGTATAGAAAACAGTCCTCTTACCTTCAGAAGATTTGTCAAATAATTTTTCAGAAACTCTTTTAGACGTTTGTAGAGTTCCAGCCCTACAAACTGGGCTCCCCCTGGGGTTTGGCCCTTCTGTTTTTTGGCAGCAGCTGTTCCTCCTCCTCGTGCTTGATTTGACTGGTGGACGCTGGTACAATAATTATAAACATGACTGCAGAAGAAGTTAAGGCAGCAAGAAAGAGAGAGTGGCTACATCTTAATAAAATATACAACTTTAACCAGTGAAGCTTGATCCCAATAGATTCATTTGCAGATACAATTGCTTTAAGTCAAATTTATTAACATTTTAAGCCCTAAATGATCTTACACTATATAGACATTCATAGAAGGCTTACAAAGCTCAGAACATTTAAATGCTATGATTCTTTCTTGCACCTAAATCTAATACATTATGATTACAATTATATTTGAAATTAAGGTCAAATAACAGACTACAATCCTACACTGCCTAAAACATGCTTAAAGACAGATTAACTCAAAGATCTTAATTCAGCAAACCGAAAATAATACAAATATAAATGACATAGAAAACTAAACATATTCACTTGATATATTAGCTACAGGAATGAACTAGATAAAACACTAATAACTTTTTCAAATTGGTTACCTAGTGATCACTTAATTTGAAATAAATCATTCATACAAGTATGCATTTAAAAACTGTTCTCAAATACTTTCCTGATATTTTACAAAACTTTTAAAACAACTATTACCAAGCACACTAATCAGTGCAAGTAACATAAATGACCACAACAAATGCCTAAAAAGCTAGTCTGACGGATGGATCTTTGAAACAAGTCCTTTTCCATTCAGATATCTAAGACCTAAATACTTTGTTTACTTTCCTTCTGAAGCAGCTTTTTATTTTATTGAAAACACCCCTTATTCTTAAACCGAAGACACATTTCCAGAATCAAAAAGTAACCAATTATTTGTTACAAGTTAAAATAAGCTCCCAAAAGAAAGAAAAGACTTTGAAATAAATTCCAAGAGTACATTAATCTTGTAAACACACTCCCTAAAGTCTCTTGCTTATTTCACGACCATTTAAATTCAACCTCGTATAGTACATTCGATGCTGTACATAAAATAATCTGGAAACAATTACCAAATTACATGTCAACCTAAATCTGAAGATAAAATAAGAAGGGTCTAGGCCCGAAACATCAGCCTTCCTGCTCCTCTGATGCTGCTTGGCCTGCTGTGTTCATCCAGCTCTACACCTTGTTATCTCAGATTCTCCAGCATTTCCTACTGTGTCTGATAAAATAATTAATGTTTGGAATACACTGTCACACAACTGGTGGCTCATGCTTCCAACAAAACAGAATGATTAGTTTAATTTTAACCTCAATTCATTTAAAATTCTCTCCAGTTACCGTTTTAAAAAACATTCCCTTCTTCAATCAGCATTTGCACCACTAGTATTATTATTTTGAAACATGTTCATTCATCCGTCTAAATTTTCAGAGGAAGGAGTGGAGCAACAAAAAATGGGCTCTTGATTCTTCTCACCTAGCAAATGTATTAGGATGAGTTGTGAGACAGCAACAATGTTAAATAGACAGACAACTATTCATTTTGGAAATATTCACACACAACCGGGAAGTTTGAAGAATACAAAACTCTTCACATTAAATTTAAAGTTGTTAGAAAGCAAATAGAATGTGAGATTGTATTAAGACAGAAGTCAAATTTACACTTATAAAACAAAAAATTCAAACTTTTTTCTTAAAAAAACTTGAATAAATGTGATTTTCCAGAAACACAAAATCAGTATTTTGTGGTGAGTAAACTGCATGGCTGGTTATACAGTTATGAAGCTATTAAACATTCAGTTACACCTCACTCGAAGTACAACTCGTCCTAGGGTTTCCACAGCAAGGCCAGTGTTATAGTGGAAGTTCTTGTCAATTCATGATTGTAAGAGAGCACCTCCACTGCTACCTATGGAGAAGCTTAGGTCCAGTGACAGCAGTATTCTGCCTGTCCAAATTCATGAAGCTGCTTTCCATTTCAATAGAGTAATAACAAAGAAACAACAGGTTCATTATCATTATCACAGCAGAGTACAGGACAATGTTACAAACTGGTGTTTGCAATTGTGATGCTGTCGAAATGTACAAAAGAACTCTGGAAGAGCTCAGTCTTTCTGCATCTGTGGAGATTTGAACGTTGCAGATGCAACATCTCTAACCCAACTTGAGAAAACCAAATGTAAGACAGTAGCTGAAAGGTACTGATCTGGTTGACTGATTGCAGTGGGATGGAGCTAGTTCAAATGATGCTAACAAGTTATCATGGTGAAGACTGAGCAGGTTGACAATCCAACTGTTTTTTTCTCTCCACTGCTGAAAAACGATGTACTCATTAAGATGCAGGCATTAATGCTAGAAAACGGAATACAACCAAATGAAGCAGCACAGCTTAAGCAAACATATCAAAAATAGGCACAATTTAAGAAAAAACAAAATTCAACAAGCTCTGCCACAACTTCAGAATGGCACCACTCCCACCAACCTCATTATAAAATGTACATTTCCAATGGCAGCTACTCTCAGGGCCAACTACCAATTCCTGACAAACTGACGGTATTGTTTTGTTTAGTACTGCAGGACCACATCCAAAAGAAACTAGGTTGACAATACACCTAATCCAATTCGCAATGGATGTAGATGCACAATCAAATACGATCTTATTTTGTACTGGCAATTTCAGCAAGAAAACAAGGACAGCTAATACCAAATACTGTAAACATCACATTGATGTAGTAACATCTTGTACAGTTCAGATTATAATACACAAACACAAATCCCTTAACTCTGCTTTGGTGCATGCTATTCTATCATTCATCACCATTCATGCACAGGCAATGACTCTTATTGGAGATGATCGAACCACCACATCTTGACATTCAATGGGGCTACCAGCACCAAACTTCACCATTATGAGCATCCTGAGGGTTACCACTAACTAGAAACCAAACTGAACTCACCATATAAATACAGCAGCTACAAGAGCAGGTCAGATGTTAGGAATAATATGCAAGTAATTCACCTCCTGACTCCCCAATTAAAAGTCAGGAGTGTGACGGAATATTCCACTCTTGCTTGGATGAGTTCAACTCCAACAACACTGAAGAAGGTTGGCACTGCATTCACAAACGTTCAGTCCTTCCATCATGGATGCCGGGTAGTACTAACCGTATTGCAGCACTGCAAAAATTTGCCAAAGATCCTTAGGCAGCACCTTCAAACCCATGACAAAACCATCTAGAAGGACGAAGGCAGAAGATACATGGGAACACCAACACCTACAAGTTCTCCTTGACTTGTAAATATATTGCCACCCATTCACTGCTTCCGAGTCAACATCCTGGATTTCCTTCTGTAACAGCACTGTAATTCTGCCAGAGCACATGGACTACACCGGTTCAAAAAGGCAGCTCAACACCACCTTTCTCAAGGGCAACTAGGGACAGGCAATAAACACTAGTCGAACAAATGAAGCCCACATTCCACAACTGAATTTTAAAAATCATAGTAAAACAGGGAATTGTTCATTTCCCAGAATCAACAGCATTACTGTTTTTTTCAAATTAAATTTTGTAATTTTTATCCATATCCCATGACTTAAATACCTTTAACAACGTGGATCAAATTTGCCTAAACAAGAACAACCAAGATTTTAAGCTCTACTTGAGAGGGAGAGGATTACTAGCATTTAGGGCTAACCGGCCCAATTCCCTGAAACCCAGGAAGGTTAACATTTATCACAATGCGTCAAGAGTTACAGAAGGCCTTTTTCTTCCATAAACTAGGATAGACTGAAACTGTCCCTCGTCCTTTCGCCTTTTCATTAAAATAATACCTTAATTTAATGTTTTACTAATAATGGCTATGAAATACAACCCAGCTCGAAACATTTCTTACTTCATAGTACATTTTCTATTATACAAATAGATTTTTGAGATATTCAAAAAATATTTATAGAACTCTGCCTCCAGGCATTCTGCCATTTTCACTTAAATTCTTGTAAGCGAGCAGAAGGTTATAACTGATGTCAGTTAACAAAAATGCTGAACATGTAACAGGATACGTATATAGTTCCATGTATCTTGATTTTGCCATGCTCTGTCGGGTGTAAACCTGTTGAATGCCAGCTCGAAGGTCATCCCATATCTGATCCAGGCCTATCTGCTTAAGCCCATGAGGATTTTGGCTCTTGTTTGATGACATTTTCTGTTTTCCTTATAGTTTTCTACAGCAAAGTTCACAGCTAATCAAGTTATGCCTCCATGAGAAGTAGCAGTATAGACTCCTTTCAGTTTCCTGCTGTTAACTTCCAATGAACTTTACTTCCACCAAACTGACTAGATGGACGTTATCTCATCCAACCTGTAATTAAAAAAAAAGTTTCAAGTGAGAAAATTATCCAAATTTTTAAAAATTATTCTTGGATATTGCAAAAATACTTTCTCAAGCTGCACTTCATGCCATTTTATAACAGTAGTATTCTGTATTCAACACCTGAAGTTTGTAACATTTTGTGAACCAAAGTGATGCCAGCAAATAACTAGCAACCTTAGATTTAAAATTTAAGTGCCATAATGAAGTTTTGTTAAGCTGGTCTCAGGTTACAGCAGGACCTACAAAGCTTGTTAAGTCCGTGCTGTCATATCAATCATTGATGCTATTTGATGACATCATATTAGGTCCCTGTGGTGTTAATAAAATGCACTAATGCCACATATTAAATATTTATAACTATTTTGGACAAATTTATGGTCTTAAAACAATTGTGTGATTATTTTTAAAATAATTGCATAAAACCAATAAATTGCAACATATTGAACTTTGCCAGTGTTCATGAAGATAATATGAAGTCATGATTAGTTATCCAAAAGGATTACTTAAATATGGGCTCTTATTCATTCAATCATGGGGTGTGAACTGTGCTGGTTAGGCCAGTTTTCATTTCATTTCCCCAATTGGCCTTGGGGTGATGCTGCAGTCCATTTGGGGTCAAGGGAGTCAGATACACCCATGGTGTTGCTAGGAAGGGAGTTCCAGGATTTTAACCCAGCAAGTGAATGAACGTCAATGAAGTTTCAAGGCAGAATACTGCGTGATTTTGAGAGGAACCTGCAAGTGGTAGTGTTCACATGCATCTTTTGACCTCTAGGTGATGGAGGCTGCAGGTTTGGCAAATGTTGTCAAAGGAGCCTTGATGAATTGCTGCAGGGCACTTTTTAGATGCACGATGGCAGTGGAGGGAGTAAACAGTGAAGGCAGGGTGCAACCAAGTAGGTTACTTTACTTCGAATGGTGGCAGCTTCAAGTGTTGTTAGAGTGGCACTCAGAGACAAGTGTTCACACCCGGCTTATGCTCAGAAAACAAAGTTATTAATGATGACGCAGCATGTGCTCGAAATACCATGAAATGATGGATGATTTGAGTTCTACCTAGAGCCTTGCAAAAGTAAACCTAGCCCTGAGCCCTCTGAGATTGGTAAGAAATTGCTACAACTGAGTTGTCAATATTATTTCACTTCATCGTATTTGAATTTCTACAAGGTTGGGAAACAATTATCACTGAGGTTGTAAATTGAGATTTTTTTCACACCCATTTGACTATTTCAGTTTCTCTCTCCCTCCCCACCCACCCACCCACTCACTCTCCATCTTGCCTATCCTCTTATGTCTTTTGATACATCCAGCTGGACTAATTTAATCACACAGAAGGGGATTCTGTGGAATCAGATGGGATCTCCTTTCTAGATTTCAAATGCAGGCCTTCTCATAAGGGGAATAGTTAAAATAACCCATTAATAGCAGGAATAAGTCTCTTGAGCTTGTTCCACCATTCAGTAGAATAGCTGATCTGATTGCTCCATATTCTCACCCATCCAATGACCTTCAGTCCCTTGCTAACCAAGAATCTGTCTACTTCTGTCTTAAAAAAAATACTCTGCTTCCCCTACCCTTTCATGAAGGATTCCAAAGTCATACAATCCTGAGAAAAAAAAATCTCATCTCCATTTTAAACTGATGACCCCTTATTTTTAAAACAGTGACCTCTAGTTCTATGATTCTCTCACAACAGAAAACGTCCTTTCCACATCCACCCAATTAAGATGCTCTGTCGCAATCAAATCCCCTCTTACTCTTCTAAACTTGGGACGAATACATTTTCTCTTAATGCAACTGACCCATTACAGTTACCAGTCTACAATATCTTCTCTGAACTGCTTCCAATGCATTTTTAAGGAAGGATATCAATTCTGTATATAAAACTACAGATATAGTGTCACCAATGCCCTGTATAACTAAAGCGTAACCTCTCAACTTTTGTATTCTATTCCCCTTACAAAATATGTTAAATGGTTAAGGCCTTCATCAAATCAATTTGAAAAAAGATAATAACACCTCCCTCTAACTCAGTGATGTGCCTGCCTGTGAAGAATTGTTTTTTTTTTAAAATGAAAAAAAAACCAAAGAACTGTGGATGCTGGAAATCAGGAACAAAAACAGAAAATGCTGGAAAAACACAGCATGTCTGGCAGCATCTATGGAGAGAAAACAGAGTTAACATTTCAGGTCAAGTTTCACTTGACTAGTTTAGCTAGACGTGGTGAACTGCCTTTTAAAACAGCTTCAAACTGAATCATTGTTTTTTAATGAATGTATGAAACATTCATTGTTCTGAAGATCAAAACTATACACTATTTTGTTCATGCATTTTCTACGATTAAATCATTGGATGATTTTAAAGCTGTGTCACATTTCTAAAGTATTGCCGTATTCTGCCTTCTATTAAAGAGCATTTACATATAGAATATATTTTATTTCAGTAGATAGTAAATGGAGCAAGGGTACTTTATGCCAATCCCTAGGCGTATCATCATTTCAGTCAAAAATAGGCTGACAAATCGCTGGGAATGCATGGACGGCTTTCTGAGTGTGAACAAACTCTTCAGATTCAGATGGCAAAAATCTTAAAATATTTAATTATGTATAAATTGAATGCAAGTGGAGGGTATGAGTGAAAAATTCACTCGGGCTCCTATAGATGGGAACAGAAACTAGAATTTAAGTTTAAGATATGTATGTGTGTTTGTAATGTGTAGTGCAAATGTAAATGCTTTTTAAAAAAAGTGCAAAAATGGCTCCTGATTTATCTCTCACACGTGGTTTTGTGGAAAAGAATAAAGACAATTTTATATTGCATTAAAAGTGGGACACAGTCAATGGGTTTCAGTTAAAATATGATGCACATAATTATTTTCCCTCCCTTGACTCATTCAACAGCTGCTACAAGCCAAATGCACAGTGATACTAACGAAATGCAAGCAGTAAATCCCACTTCTGAAATTGGTCACAATGTGTCACTCAGGATTCAGACTCCTAACTAGACATCAGCCATTTAATCAAGAGAAAGCCATGGATATACGAAAAGGACTGCAATATTGTTAGCAACATATTATAGCCATGTCAGACCATCAATAAAGTAACAGCATCTATTCCAAAAGATCGACTTTTAGAATAAGAACCAATAAAGGACTAACAGCTAGTACTGTCAAAACAAAACAAGATCTTGTCTGACAAACTTCTTTAATTTGAGCCACATGAGAGTAAATTGTAGAATGTTTGGAAAGCTTCTCAAAGTATACAATTAAGGCACAGAATTGAATTCACAGGAATTCAGAGTAAGATACAGAAACAGGACAATACACTGCAATTTCAGCACTGAATGGGATGGAGAGCAGGTTGCTGGACTGTGGAGTCTGTATCCTTTCATTCTATACATGAAGGTTTGACAATGTAATCAAAATAAGTTGGTGAAATTTGTTACTAGCAGTGGAGACAGGGATTACAACAAAAGCAATATAGACTAATTTTGCAATCAAAATTAGAGATCAAATGATAAATTCCACATACTTCACATTAGTCAGAAATCAGGGAGAGTATACAATATGTGGGATTCAACTGGCTGAGGGAAACCTACCAAAGACCATGGCTTTAACATTTCCAAATAATTGCAAGAAATTTCTGCTCATCTTGTATTAGTCTATCTCCTCTGACTGGTGTTATCTTATGTCAGGACCTTGTTTGATTCCTTTCTCACTCCTATCCTTCGGCTTTTGGTTTTATATAAATCCAAATGGAACTGCACTATTTTTCACAGAAGTTGCTGGAAAAGCTCAGCAGGTCTGGCAGCATCCATGAAGAAGAAAATCAGAGTTAATATTTCAGGTCCGGTGACCCTTCCTGAAAATCCCCCTTCTGAGGAAGGGTCACCGGACCTGAAAAGTTAACTCTGATTTTCTCTCCACAGATGCTGCCAGACCTGCTGAACTTTTCCAGCAACTTCTATTTTTGTTCCTGATTTACATCATTGACAGATCTTTCAGTTTTTTGCATTATTTTTCATTTTTCTGAGGAATTGGTTTTTTGAATGCTTAATCCCATTCAAATTGTTAATCCATGTGGACACTGCAATCAATATATCTACGTAAATTTCTCCTGCCTGTTGTTAAACAGAATTCCTCCTCTTCATTCAAGTGCCACAATTATGTCCACTTCCATGATGTTCTTTTAGGATGCACAAAAAACAGTGCAGAGTGTGCTCACTGTGCATTTAATACATTCGAAAGCAAGCAGGTGACAGCTAGATGTTTCTACCATTCAGAAAACTGAAGCTACTATATCCTACAGAGTGAAAATAATTGATCAAATACAATTTCAACTGCAGGCTAATTTTTTAAGAAAATTTTCAATGTGCAGACAGAACACACATTGTATGACAATTTTTTTTTGGGCTGTAAAGGATCTAGCACACAATAAATACATCAACTGGCAGTTATTCCACCAGAAAGATTCAAGAATGTTCATCCAACAACAAAACGCATGAATTTACATTAACATCAAACTTCCATTTTTAAATATTGTAGTTATTTGCCATTGAGTCACCATTATAATATTTTGCTTTTATTCAACCCATCAATTCCAAATCCCATTATTTTCATTAGCTTGTGAAAAAAAAAATCATTACTTAATTTTCTATCCTACCACATGACTCTCTGATCCTCAATACCACATTCACTTTTAACTTAAATTTGGAGTCTTTCCTAATGATATCCCAAATGCTCGTGAATCGAAGTACCCAGCTCTAACTACTCCCTTAAGCAGACTCAGAATTCATCCCCAAATGCATCCAAGTGGACACTCAGCCTGGTATTAGCTATTGCTCTCAGATCAGACACCTCCTACTTTTCTCAAAAATTTTACCCATATCACCCCCACCCCTCCACCAGTGCTCAAATCCTAAGGCCTCTCAAAGTACTCATCCTATAATTCCTGGAAATACATTTCCCCCCACCCCCAATCTCT